AAAATCTCATGTGCTCAAAGCTATTCATTGCAAACTGGAGACTGGATAAAGAACATGTAGGGGTTTTTTTATATAAAATAGAGTACTACTCAGCAATAAAGAATGAGAAACTAGAGAAATTATATAGGTAAATGGATGCACATTGAGGCCATACTCTTAAGTGAAATAAATAGGACACACATGTGTAAATACTGAATAGTTTCTCTGGTGTGAAAAACTAAAAGTGTAAATAAGGATCAAAATGTATAATAGATAAGGAGAAATGGGAAGAAAAGGTCTAAAGGAGTTGGGGAAGTAAGAGGGGTAGGGGAAAGGAAATAAGGGAAAAGGAATACTATGAGAAGAGGAAAAAGTGGAAACAAAGTTTTTGTAAATAGGGAAGGGTGGAGGGTGTGAAGGGAGGGCAGGGGAAGGGGGAAAAAATAAGAACCAAGATACATTATGTAAAGACATAAGATCCCAATGATGAATGTACCTGTATTGTATACCTAAAATGTACCAATAAACTTAACGGAAAAAAACAGCTCTCTAAGAGGGGCAATCCCCTGAGCCATCCCACAAATTACACACTACCTAGTCATAACCATGAATCCTTCGGCAAAGCTTTGACTGTGTTCACTACGTCACATGTGCACTTCTGCCACATTTTAGAAAGACTGCTAATTATAGGAGATAAATGAAGTTTCTTGAGATGAGTAGGTCCTCACCAACTGAGTGAATGAATGAGATCTTTAATATATGTGTAACAAGTACATTTTATAGACATTCATGTTTGAGTGGCACTGTCCTCCAGGAGCTTGTCTATGCCAGTGGCTACTCCTCTCCCAAGCAATAAGGCTCCTGAAGGCAGGGACCCACAACTACTCCATATTCATCTAGAAGGGTAGTGTGCAGGGAGGAGAGCCTGGGCTGCTTAGGTCCTTGTTCTCTGCAGAGCTACTTCCCAGACCCAGGGCCCAGTGACTTCAGGTGGAGGTGGATTCCATTCTTGGAGCGCAGAATCACCTGGGGCATCTTGATGGGCAGCTTCAAGGGGTCGATGGAGAACTCAAAGCGGAGCAAACAGAGAGCCGTGACCACCTTTATCTCATTCATGGCAAACTGCTGCCCGATGCAATTCCTGCAGTGAGCAGTACAGAGAAGCACTGGGCTGTGAGGTGTCCAGAGTGATGAAATTCAGTGCTCTTAGTGGCTAACAAAAATCAGTAACCATTTTGGATCTATAACTGGCTGATAGATTGATTGACCTGTGCTTAAGAGATCTTGAGAACATTGTGAGGGCCTGGACTGAGTAGCTGCATGATGAGGATTCTGCTTTGGGGTCTCTCCTGGAATGACTGCCACCCATCCACTTCCCAGGGGCAGGAATATAATAGCAAGAAGAATGTCCCTGAAGTTTTCCATGCACTTAGGATAACCACAAACCCAACATCACAGAATACCTCAGAATAATATCTCCCTCATGATATCTCCCCCCACCTTCCTCCTCAATCCTGAAGGCCTGGGAATTTGGGGCCTTTCCCTACCTGGGCCCAGCAGAGAAAGGCATGAAGGCAAAGGGATGGCGTCCAGATGCATTATCAGGAGAAAAACGCAGGGGATCAAAGACCTATGAAGACAGGCTTTGCTTAAATACCCACCAGGTCCTGGCATTTGGTAGTTCCCGTAACCCCCTGATGTCTGATCTTGGCCCAGAAATGAGGTACCTCAGGGTCAGGCCACACTGCGCTGTTCCTATGGAGGGCATAGATGTGCAGAGAGACCAGGCTTCCTGGAGACAGAAAAGAGGCTTGGTGACCATGCAGCCCTAGAGCAGACAGTCTCACCTCCACATAGGACCTGAATGCCCTAGTGCCTCCCTAACCAGGGCACTAGCCCCTGTCTAACCATTGCCAGTGACCTCAAGCTCTTGACCACAGTCAACTCCTCAAAGTATTTTGATAATCATCCTGTCCAGTTCCTATAGCCGCAGAAGTGAGCACAGCACTTGACACAGACATTTATGGAATGGAAAAAGAAGCGAAAAGGAGGGATGAACCACACACACCACACCATAAAGTAGGACAGGTAGGAAATATTACAACCTTTCTGCTGTCAATTTACTAATTCTCAAGAAGTTATTATTCATAACATTATGCTATCAAGAGTAGTTGCTACCATTTCACTGAGTGATTACTACATGTTAGGTATAGTTCTAAACACTCTTTATGGAGCCATCACATACAGATTTACATGTTGTACATGGCTCTGCATTAACTTCAAGTTATGTGACTTATGCCCTGAAATTATCCAGGGCACAACCTGAATATGCGTGGTGCTATGGGACAGCCTTGCTGAACTGTGTCTCTTTAATTTTGACAAAACCCTTGAAAGGTACATTCTCACTTCCATTCTATAGAAGAGGAAATGGAGTTTTAGAGGCAGAGCAATTAACTCATATATTGTGGAGGTAGGATTTGAACACAGGGCTCTCTGAACACAAAGCCTAAGCTCATCCCCCTTGGTGCAAAGTTTTGGACAACATCACAAGAGGTGTCAAAGGAGCATCCACAGGACCCTGATTCCACCCTCTTCAGCCCACCCCCTCCCACCTGCAGGTAGAGAGCGGCCATCCACAAAGTTGACAGGCTTGCTGAGCTGGCGGTACACCTGAGGCACAGGTGGGTAGAGGCGGAAGCTCTCCTTGATGCACATGGTCAGGTAGGTCATCTTGCCCAGATCATCCCTGCCAGCAACACAGGACAGTTGGGAATGGTGAGCAATGGAATCCTCGAAAAGGTGAGGCCCAGCCTCAACATCACATTCACCATATTGCCTTCCCCCTCAGCACCAGCATACATCCAAGAGTCAGAGGCTACAAGTGCCCAAGGAAGACTGGACACAGGGTGGCTGCTGAGACCCAGTGATCTGGCTCCACATCCCTCCATCCTCCCCTCACCTTCACTGCTAAGAGGGGAAGGCACAGGACCGGAGACGTATGTGCACCCCGCTATCAAAGTCAAGGTCACCTCTCTGTCTCTCAGTGCCACACAGAAGCCTCCATTAGGGACTACTGAGGTTCTGTTTAGCTCCCCATGTAGGCAGGGAATGGAAAGGACAGGAGCTGATACATGTTGATCAAAGGAACCAACCAGTGTGCACTGTTTTGGCTTGTGTCCAGATGTCCCCCCAAAGCCTCATGCAGTCATAGCCTATGACTCATAGTCGAGGCAAAAGCATCCACTCATGCTTTTTCAGAGGTGGCTGGATCTAGAGTGTGTGATGCTGGGCTTGATTCATGGTGCAATGCAAAGATTAAGGGTGCTAGGATTAAGGGTGTGTGATTACTAAATCAGTCTACTGATTGGTCTGGCACTGCCCTAATCTCCATGGTCAGGATAAGAAAAAGGGGCCAGAAAGACACTGTTAAGATTCCCTTGTTGCTTTTGCTACTGCGTGGGCACCATGAACTGTTTCTCCTCTGTGACACCCCTCTAGCAGGTGCCACTCTGCCATGGAGCCAGCCAATTATGGACTGAAACCTTTACAAACTGAGCTAAATAAAGTCTTTCCTCTTTTATTTTGGGTATCAGATATTTTTTCTCAACATGAGAGAATAGCAACTAACACATGTGTGAACTGTTCAATAGATGAATCATGATAAATTTATATATTTTTTTCTCTTTTTCCTTTTGTCATGAGGAAGCTCAGACCCACAATTCCAAGTTTTCATGTCCTGGTCCTGATTTTTCATTTATTGTACTATTTTATTAAATAAACATCCTCAAAGTTCCTTCAAGTTCTAGACAGAATGGAAAATAACTGTTTTAATTTATTAATAAATGTAATTTATTATTAATATTAAATGTTAATAGTAAATGTTCTCTCTTTGCCTAATTTTTCAACATCTCACCGATAAAAATGAGTAATGGAGATTCCATCCTCTAAGTGTCAGATTCTGGAATTATAGGTCGGTCCCTTTGCAGTGAATCTAAAATCTCTCCAGTGACAGCTGTTTTCTGCACCCCTGCTATGTGCCTCACACCCATGCTGGAGGCAGTGCAGGACCCAGAAGGGAGGAGCCTGACAGGACACAAACACCTGAGAGCACAGGGAGGTAGTGTAGGTGAAAGGAGAGACATCTATAAGGATTCCCGGCTCAGACAGGTTGGAATTGTGTTGGGTCGTGATCAGGACTTCAGTCTGGAGCTGAGAAACCAGAGGAATATTTGCAGGTTCTTAAGTGCTGGAGTTTGGGAAGCAGTCTGCTTCCTTCACTTGAGGGACGGATGTGAGATCTGGAGGCTGGGTACTGCCAAAGGCAGATGGCAAGGGCCTGCCTTTCCTGACTCTCCTTTCTCTGTTCAGCCCTCATTTCTTCCTCTTTCTCTCCTAGCCCTCCCTACCCTGTTCAAGAACCCTGAAGGTTATTCTTGTTCTCTATCAGAGGAACTGATAATTTTCTCTACGTGACACTGAAAAGGCTCCTTTTATGGGGAGTGGGGTAAAGGATATATCCGCACTCAGCTGTGGAGAGCGAAGGGTTGAAACAACCCTGAGCTTTTTGAGATTCTTGAGCCAGATAAGAACATAATGAGCCAGGATATGAAACTGGTACAAAAACAAGGATGTTGACTTGTAAAGAAAACAACGAATATAGAGAAGATTTGAATGTTTGCTGGACAAGAAAGTAACATTCCCGGAATTGTAAAGATATATTTGACCTTTTCTCTGTAAAAATAATTAGTCACGAGATCATGAGGGGAGGAAGGGAGGGAGGCTGTGGGTAATGAAAGAGGATATATAAGAGGCTCAATAAAGTGGGAAGGAAAAGGCTCTCCCTCTCCTCTCCTTTTCTTTTCTCCCGAATTTGTGTTGTTTTTCTTAATCCTCACCCCTCTCCGCAGGTACTGTTCGTCTAGTGACGGCTGGCTCCGTCACTCAGCCCCCAAGAATGCTGAAGCACGGGAGGGAGCAGGACAACTGCTGCACCCTCACCTTATTTCCAGGATGGCACAGGCCCTTCCTGGGCTGACCAGGACGGGTCAGGCTCCCCCTCAGCCTCACTCACCACTGGAAGGAGACCTGGTCCCCCAGGATCTCATGGGCCTCCTCCCTGCAACGCCGCTGGTGCTCCGGGTACAGAGCCATGCAGTAGAGAAACCAGGAGATAGCACTGGTGGAGGTGTCATGACCTTCGAACATGAATGTGTCCACTTCGGCCCGGAGGTCTGCATCAGACAGCTTGATGTCGCTTTCATCCTGGATTGAGGCATAACAGCAAGGCTCAAAGACTTTGAGTAATTGCCAAGAACTTGGAAGGGTAGTTGTCAAGAGCAGGTCTGAAAGGGGGAGTGAAAGCTGCTTTGCAGACTGGGAATTAAAACCTTCCCTAGGGTCATATCCTTCTTCTAAGCCCACCCTGGATGCCTCCTACTCCATGATGCCCTCCCTGATCCCTCTGGCCAAATGACCTGTGACCTTACCCAGCCCCGTCTGTCAGCTCTGCTCACTTGGCACACAGAATGGCACCAAGCAGGGGAAGACATCTTGTCACCACCCACCTACTGTCCCTTCCAGTAGACTGTAAGGACCTGGTGGGCAAGGGCCAGGTCTTTTTATCTGGAGAACCTAACACAGGAACCGACTCAGCATAGGTGCTCAGTGAGTTTATGGAGTGCAGGAAGAAAGATCCAAATGAAAGAATGAATAAATGGAATCTCAATTCTAAGATGCTGTAATGTCAAGATACTTGGGGATCTCAGAAGTCTAGAAATGTCTTCAGCCCACCACCATGTGACCCAGTCTCCCAGGTGTCCAATGCCACAGCCCAGCCACACACACTTTAAACCTCTGTACCTTTATTGATGTGTGTCAAGGGGCAAGAAGCAGAGAAATTTGTTGGATAAAGGGTGGACTACTTAACAGCCCCTTCTGCTGGGCAACATACCCTGTCCTAGCAGGATGGTCTGAGGACCCGTCTGAGAGCAGCCCTCAGGTAGGGACAGTGGGTCTTACCCGAGCACCCAGGAGAATGTCCAAGAAGTCCAGGCGTCTCTGGTGCTGGATATTCTCCTGCTCCTTCTTGTCTTGCAGGGCTGCCTTTCGCTTCCTGATGACATGGTCTAGGTCAGGAGCACAGGAGTCACTGCTTGGGAACCATCCTCTGCCCAGAAGGGAGCAAAGGACCTGAAATGGGCAGGATGCAGAGGGGCCAGGAGGAAGAACCAGGCTTTCTAGCAGTAGGCCCCCCAGGAAGGTGCACCTGTATGGTCATGAGCCTCCTGGCAGGCCCGCAGGAAGCGGCGGCCGTGTGGGGTGAGCCAGTAGATGAAGTCGTTGTGGTACTGGAAGGAGTCAATGCGCTGCTGTATCAGCACTGTGAGGTCATGCACTGCCTGGTAGTAGCTGCTGTCCCTGTACAGCAAGGGTGGAGGGAAGGACAGTTCCAACACTGACCCAGGGGCACAGTCCTTCCAACCACAGGGCTTCCTCTCTTTCCCTAAACTCCCTCACTAAAGCAGATGTGTCCCCACCACAACCAAGGCCTGGTAAGACCCTGCCTCCTCTCCGACCACGGCCCAGGATCCCTGCCAGCTCTCCCCTCTGAGCTGGCTTTGGGGAGGAAGGAGTATGGTCCACCCTGAGGTACCCCCTGACCTGTAGCACAGGCCGCTGTCTCCTTTGCCAAAGGTGCACTTCATGAGGCTGTCCAGTGCCATGTGGCCCACATCACAGAAGATGTCAAAGCTTTTATTCTCCTGAGCTTTTTTCTCCCACTTGTCCTGGATCCCAGAGATAGGAAGCAATGTGGACACCCCACCTTGCCCTTCAGGACCCACATCCTGTCCTCCACCACCAAACCCATCTCCACACCCAGCCCTGTCTCTGCCCTGCCCTGCTTGCTGCTGGAATGTGGGGTTTGGCAGCCTCTGGGCATCAGACTCAGGCAGCAGGATCAGCAGGTAGATCTCCCACAGCACAGACACTTTCTCCTAGTCAGGGCAGCCCAGATAAACAAGCAGGAGGACTGAGAGGTGATGAGTTCCCCAGCACAGTGTGTGTGTGTGTGTGTGTGTGTGTGTGTGTGTGTAAGTCAGGCCTGCAGTCATTCTGGGGTGGAGTTTTCTGCAAGGGAAAAGACCAGCCTGGGTAGTTCTGGGAATTCTCCAGCCCTGAGACTCTAAGTCTGACTTACATACCTCTTAGAGATGAGTTGTAGCCACACAGTGGTAGGCAGAGAATGAAAAAGAGACACTTTTTAGATGTGAAGGGCTTTCTTGATACTCTCAAATACAGATAATCCTCAAATCTCCAATACTGGGTACCTTATTGGGTCTTCCGGGAACGCTTTGTTTTGGCAAGACAGAGGGCCTGGTGCCCTGGTAGAAACAAGGACCAAGCCTTCCCACACACTAGGAGCTCCAGCACTAGCCAGTAGGGGCATACAGCAATGGGCAGCAGAGCAGGACTTTGGCACTGCACTTACAGGAAGACTGAGGACTCAGGGCTGCAGGGATCCTCCCTGTGCCATCTGCCCTCCCCACGAGGGAGCAGAGGGCTGGCCCAGTAGCCTACAGCTCCAGCAGCCTGTCACAGGGAGCTCACCAGCATGTTGTTTGCAGAGCTCGTGAACACAGCAATGTAGGGCTTTAGCACATCATAATGGAAGCCAGGTGTGAGAAGCTTGCGGTGCTGGAACCACTTGGTCCCCTCAAGAACCAGCAGGCCTTTCCCTGGGAAGGGATGAGAGAGGGAAGGCTCCTGAGTCCAGGCAGTCCTGCTCCCTCCTAGCAGCTGGGACTAAGCACAGGGCACCTCCCATCCCTGAGCCTGGAGGCCTCCAGGGTTGGGCCACCATAAGATCCAATATTGCCCCTGTGCCTCCACCCCTAGGCTGCCAGAACCCCAGGCAGTGATTCTCTGCTGAACAAGCTTCTTCCTCAGGGCGGAATGACTCCATTCCATCCCTTCGGGCTGTACCACAAAGCTTGGGCTCCAGGAACTTGTGTTGGGTGACACTGGACTGAGACAAAGGATATTTGGCTCCCTGGGGACATCAGGCAGAGGGGAAGCTAGCTGGGCCTTGACTCTCAAATTGCTGAGTGTGGCCATACCTTCAGGATTCAAGGAACAATGTGCCAAGTCTGGCCTTTGTGTGCTTGGGCAAGAATCCATCCTCCTCCCTAGCACACACACACCCTGCCATGGAAATGCATTCCTCTCTTCAAAACTGCTTCAAATTTTCCTAAGCCTTTTATACTTTTGTCTTTTCTTTTATCATTCCTTTGGTAGTGAAAAAGAGGGTAAGAATCCCTAAAGTCCACAAAAAGACTTCCCTGGTTTATTTTATGAGTAAATAGCCTTGAGATTGTTTTCTTCCTCTTTCCCTGACCTTTCTCAGATATCAGGAAACTGCTCAAGATTCCCAGGAATTATGAGTAAAGGAAGGACTTTGGAAAAGCATTTGACTTTTGCTCAAGAATACATCAACCCATAGGCCTCATCCTGACGAGCAAAGGCAGCCATTCTTCCCTGCCCAGCCTCACCTCCCAGTGGAAGTCAGCCTTCCAGCCACCCAGGCAGCTGTAGCCTCAGTCATTGCACTACTGTCACATCTTCCCTCAGGCCCTTGCCCTAGACAGCACCACCTTTTGAAATCTCCTGTAGGGTCAAGTCTAAGGCTACCTCCTCCAGGAAGCATTCTTCACAACCACACATTCCCTAGAGCCCTGCCTCTGTCTGGAAAGAAGCGAAAGCATCAGACTCAATAAGAAAAGTACAATACCATGTTTCCCTTCCCCTGCCAGCCAGGAGCTTAGGACCAATGGAGTGTGGCTGAGCAGGCGAGGATCCTGGTGAACCAGCACCAAGATGGAAAGGGAAGGGAAAGAAAGGGAAGGGGAGGGGAGGGGAGAGGAAGGGAAGTTGCTCACTCACCAATCCACTGGAGAAAGAAGTCATACACATCCGCGGCCTTAGGGTCTACAGGGGAAGGAGAAGTGGGCCGAAAAGGAGACATGTAGGGACAGGGCGGTTTACAGAATTTGATTGTTGATGAATGGGGTGGTGCCCTTGACCATCCTCTTCCCAGACTTAGGTCACAAGCCCTGGCCTCCTCCCCACATCAGGCCCTGAGCCCTTTGCCCTCAGGAAGCCCCACCCTCTCCTGGAGATATCTCACCCCCTCGGCTGTACACAGCTTTGGCATAGTCAGGCTCATAGATGTTCAAGAAGCCAAGAAATGGTCCCATCCAGAGTGGGGAGGCATAGGGGAACTGCTGGGCCCAGGACACCACCTTGTCCAGGCTTCCTGTCTGCTGGATCTGAAATGACAGAAGGTCAGGACCCCTCAGGAACCCAGTGTCACCAGCCAGGCCCCAGGTCCCTCAGCAGGGAAAGGACGGGGCCACCTAGATAGGCTCTAGGGCCTCCCTCCCTCCTTCCACCTGCACCTCCCTCTCCTGAACATCTCTGGCACAGTGACCTCTCCAGCCCCACATCCACTGGTTTATGTCCAGGGATCCTTGTCTGCCCTCAAACCACCAGACCCAAGAGCTCTGGGGATTGGGCCTTCTTTGGTCTCCAGCTGAGACAGCAAAGAAGGGCATGGCTAAAACTAGCTGAGAAAGGAGGCATAACAAGATCCCAGGACACAAGTGCAGAATAATTCCCAAAGCCCTGCACTTGGACTTCTCTTGAGAACTTCTCATGAGGACTTTGTTCCAATGGCCTAGATTGACATCAGCCTGAGAAGTGGGTGATACAAAAAGGACAGTCCACATTGAGTTTTTGCCACTGTGTCCTTCTCTTTTTTTCTTTTTAAAGAATCACTGTTATAATAACTTTATCTTACATTTTACAGACGTCTATTTTTGAAAAGCACCTCCTTACCCCATCATGTTTCTCTGACAGTTTTAAAGTAGGCAATAAGTATGTCAACAGCTTGAGCATCAGCAAGGATTTCGGATCAACCAACCACACTCACCAAAGAGCTTGGCAGCATTTCTATCTTGTTTTTAATATAATGATATATTCACTCTGATAGTTAACCTGTCCAGCCAATTCCTCAGAACATGCTTTGCAAAATCAGTGGTGATTAGCAAATTAGTTAGCTTTGGCCCAGAGCTGTGCTCACTTGCCTGTGTCAGCCTGGAAGCCCGTTTTGATACTGGCAATAGAACATCGAGAATGACAAGTTTTCAGGTACAAACACCCAATGATAAATGTAAATGTATTGTATTCTTAAAATGTACCAATTAATATACAAATAAAAATAAATAAATAAAAAGAGAATGACAAGTTTCACATTGTAAGAAATAGAGCCGGGTGTCCTTCTGCAGAATTGTGTCCGGTTATCGGCATGTGTGCCAAGTGACATATTCTTTGATATATCTTCTTAAGACATTTTCTGTCTGTTTCTGTTGGAATCTTCCTTTCATTACAAGTTGGTTAGCACCATCTATAGAACTGCTTTTACTCAATTCTGCCAATAAAAATTCAAGGAGATGTTTGAGGTGACAATGTAATAGTTTACAGATACCTGTAAAGTTGACAAAAGAAGTTTTCTTTGCTCCTACCCAGATGACCTGTGGAGGTTTAGTGACACATTTTCTTTTCTCTCCAGCAACCATATCTGGATTCTTTTCCCTCATGATGTTGAACACTGATTCAGTAGCTCTTCATATGTGTAGTCTCTCTCTCAGCCCACCCAAGCAGGGCCTGTCTGGATACTGAATGAGATACCATCATCTTTTTGCCATCTTCATCTTCTAAAGCTTCTTCTTTTTCTAGTATTTCATCCTTATCTTGGAACTTGACATTCTTCTTTTTCTTCTTTTTATTGCCAAGCATAATATAAAGGTCATCCTCTGGTTCAGCTGGCTCTTGGATATCACTTTCAATCTTAAGATCCTTTATACCTTCTTCAGCTTCATCCATATCAAATATGTTTTTTGTGTTTTTTCTTCTTTTTCTTTGGATTAAAGAAATTCAAGGCATCTAGATCATCAGAAGCATCTTTCTTCTTACTGTCCTCTTCATCAGCTTCCACATCTTTGTCTTCAGTTGGTTCTGGCTCCACTTCTTTTGTTTCTGAGGGTGGGTTTCATCTGTGTGAGCATCTCCTTGCTAAACTAACATAAAGGGCTTCTTCTTCTTCTTTTTCTTCTTGCTCAGAGTAGGATCAAAAATCATCTTGTCAGGGCCAGGGATTTAGCTCAGTGGTTTCGCCACCTGCTATGCAAGCACAAGGACCAAAGTTCAATCCCCAGTACCAAAAAAAAAATCCTCTCGTCCCCAGACATGGCTGTATCTCGAGTAGGCTTGGCATGGATGGGAAGTGAGGCAGGTCAGCCCCAGGCCCCGACTTCAGTGCTGCTCTGCCAGTACTCTTCCAAGCACCACACTAGGCTCTTCCACTGTGTCCTTCTCTTACATGGTGTCCCACCCTCACGCTGGAGAGTGTACTTCTTTTCTTACTTTTACTTGGCCCAAACTCGCTCTACAGAGCCTGTTTCTTTTCTTACCTTTAATAGAACTTTGCTAACATTTGCACTTGTCTTGACCAATTCTTTACTCAGGACAGAAAGAACCTAGAAACCACTTCTGAAAGGAGACTCCAGTATCCAAAACCTGGTAGCACATCTACTAATTGTGCCTTCTTGGGGAGTCCTCTGTCCCCAGTTTGGTATAACCTCCCAATAGATAGATTCCTCCCTCCAAATTCAGACTTCAACCCAAAGTGGTTGTAAGATTTTTTCAGCACACTGAGCATACAATGTCAGAAAGAGCACACAGGGATAAAAATCACCTCCACTGACTGGTAAAGAGAAACTTCCAATGTCGCCGCCTCCATTTTAGCTGATATCCCTGGCAATGTTCCCTGTCCCTATGTCTCTCCTATTTTCCAGCTGCCTCCTGAGTTTTCCTTACCAACTTTCTGATAAACATGGTTATTCCCTTCCTCCCCTTCTCTCCCAGGTCCAGGGAGCCTAACTTGGCATGGCAGACAATGGCTTAAGTCACAGAAAAGCTAGACTCTAGGATCTGGAAGTCAGAAAGAGCCTATGACTCATCTCACTCATCTGAGTCCCACTTCCCTCCTTATCAGCCATTCTGTGCCCTTCTGCAGCCTCCCTATCATGGAGACCCTGCCTTCACATTAAGCCTGACCTTGGATCATTCCAAGTGGCCATGACCTTTCTGTGTCTAGCTTTGCTATGTGTACCACTTTCTCCTATGTCTCTCTTGCTGCCCCCACAAACCTAGGGAGAATGAGAATAGCTCCCAGCATTCATTGACCACACTCCTGCAGCTCCAGCCCCTCCAAAAGGGCCATGATGTCTTCCTTCTTGGTGTCATATGGCTGCAGGTCAGCTCCTCTGGGCTACATAACAGGATGCCTCAGACTTATCCTCACATACCCCAAGCTGGAACACTTACTAGGAGATCTAAGCCAGCTTGTTTTTCTCCAGAAGGAAAGAGCAGGAAATACACATGGTATGAAGATAATTCACTGAACTCAGCTCTCCAGCTGCACCCCCTCATCCTTTCTTTTGCACTCTTTGTTGATTCTGCCAGAAATAAATAACAAGAAGAGTTGAAAGATCAAGCACATGTCACTCCCCTCCTCTGCTCCTCAGAAGGCTAAGATTTGCCCCAAAAACAAAATCAGAAAAAAGGTATCAATATTACCCTGTCAAACCGTGAGCTCTTTTTATAAGTGGGATTAGTACAACTCCAGGACCAAAGGGAACTATCCCAGAACAGTCAGGGCTGAACAGCAATCATGCCTGAGGTTCTTCCTGCTGGCCAGTTGACCTAAAGCTCAATTGGCCAGTGTCCAAGTCATTGCTACTTAGAACAAAAACAAACTTGATTGCAAAATGGGAGTAGGCATTTAGAAAAACAAATGGTTCCAGCGGGGAGAGGACAAGGAATTTCTTCTTCCTCAACATGTTGGAGCCCCTGGAGTCAAGTCACATTCATCTCAGATTCGTGGCACCAGCTGTTGCCTGGCCCAGTGCTTCTACCATATGAAAATCACTGCCTCCCAAGTTGAGACAGTTCTAGCAACAGGAAACTTACTGCTTTTCAAAACAGTCAACTTTGAACTCTCCAATTTCTTGACATGTCACTGGATGGAAAGCCTCCTCCCTGGACCCTTCCCCATGATCTTTCGGAGTCACTTAAGTTCCCACTATCCAGGAAAGTCCTACAGGATCTGCCTGGGTCTGTTCTCCTCCAGAATGGTCATCCTGAGGTGCCTTTGACTGACTTAGCCTCAGTTAGCTTCTCACTATGAGTACCCTTCTACCACACACAAGGTCGTCAGAGTTCAGCATGTGCTTGAGCTAAAGTCAGTGTCATGATTTTAAATAAAACTAAAGAGCTAAAAGGGCCTGCCAAGAAGAATCAGCCAAAAGCAAAAAGAAGCAACATCTCTGAAGTAACAATTAAGACTCAAGTTACACAAGCCCATAAGTAGTTCAGCTATGGTATTGAGCAGAGACAGAACAGAGGAGGTCTAAGGCATAACACCTCAAGAACCAGAGAAGTGGCTCTAGCCCAGTCTGGTGACAAACAGGTGGCTTCATCCTCCATTCTCCCTTTCAGAGACAACTGTATGTATGAACACATGTGAATACACAAGTTGCAGAAAGAACCTCTAGCTGGAGCTAGAAGGACTAAAAGACTTTGAGTGAGATTGATACGGGTCACTGTGACTCTCTAGGCACGATGTTTTGGCTAAGAAGTGATGACTGGTGTCTTAGTTACCGTTCTCACTGCTGAGAAAAATACTTGACACCTAAATTTAAAAAAGGAAAGGTTTATTTAGCTCACAGTTTGTAGAGGTTTCAGTTAATAGTTGGCTGGCTCCAAGGCAGAGTGGCATGGCAGAGGGGCATCACAAAAGAAAAAAGCACTTCATGGCATGGAAGGCAGGAAGCAGCAAAAGCAGCAAGCAGCAAGTATAAGGAATCCCAGCAGCCCTTTCTGTCCCTTACATTCTGTCTTGACTACAGGTAGAAATCATACCCAGGGTGGGCCTTCCCATTATCTACTCCCAGAACTATGCTAAACCACTCAGTGGACTAATTTAGTAATTACACACCCTTGATGCCAGCACCACACACTTAATCCCAGCATCACACACTCTATATCCATGCACCTCTGAAAAGCCCCACCTAGGATCACATGAGGCTTTGGGGGAACATCTAGATACAAGCCATAACAACGGGCCTTCCTCAAAGTCACACAATTGGCATCACGCCAGGGCTTTGAATTCCAGGGCTTGTGTTCTGGAACCCTTGCTTCTCCTGGC